TAAGTTGGGCCTCTATTATGGTGTCTTTGAAAAGCTTCCATGCAGCTTGCAGGGTTTTCACTCTAGTCACTGTACCTCAGGACAAGCATTAGGAGAGACTTGATGAAAGGTGCTGCTGAGTCCTGTCTAACATCCTGAAAACCACAGGTCAGATTCTCAGCAAGTGTGAACTGGCACAGCTCCACTGAAGTTTCCTAGTTTAACAGTATCTGGAAAAATTAATTTCCCATTTACACCCATTGACATCAATGAGACTTAAGCATGTGGTTAAATTTAAGCATGTGCTGCAGAACTTTGCTGAATAAAGAACATAGGCAGGATATGCTCTTTTAGATTGAGATTTCTGTGATTTCTTTAATTACTCTAGGCAGAGAAAATTGACCACCACTCTTTTGGTTGATTACTAAAAGCAGATTTCCAATAATAAATAATAAATCAGAGCTAAAATGAGAGAGAGAGAGAGACTATTCTAACTGCACTGAAAGATCAACAGCATAGTTCTTGCAACACAAACAGAAACATTGTCAGTTCCCTCAGGCCTGCTCTCCACACTATCTCTGACCAAACATGATATACTTTTACCAGCAAATTGAATAAATATCTTGACAACACCAAAGAAATTAGGTAATTAGGCAGCTGTTCTGTCCGTCAAAATTTTTTAACAATAAATTAGAAAAGCCTATATAATTTCAAGAAACAAATAAGAGGACACAAATTATAGAAGTGTTCAGCATGATGTCAACATCCACACTGCTCTCAATGTAAGAATATCTGCAGTGCACCTCTACCCCGATATAACGTGACCCGATATAACACGAATTTGGATATAACGTGGTAAAGCAGCGCTCCGGGGGGGCGGGGCTGCGCACTCCGGCGGATCAAAGCAAGTTCGATATAACGCGGTTTCACCTATAACGCGGTAAGATTTTTTGGCTCCCGAGGACAGCGTTATATCGAGGTAGAGGTGTAATTATGTTTTTTATTTCTGTGTACTGCAGAATAATAATGCATAAAAGAAAATAACGTTATGAAAACTCTTATGGCTAGTTATTTATTAACTGAGGATATTTGGGAGGTTCAGATTTTTTTGCAACAGCAAGGTATTACACTACAATTGTAGGCCGTTTGTGTGCTGAAACATAACACTAGTCAGACGAACAAGACTTGTTTCCTCCTATCTTGTCAACCCTCTGAAATGCTGACAATTACAAACACAAAACTTTTCATTTCACTGCTTCATGAAATGTTCAATTCCTATAAGCCTAGGTCTTGGTGCTACATGTAAATAAAGGTAATTTGAACTGCAAAAGATCTAAAGTTCTGAATATTTTATACAGTTTGGCCTATTGCTAATATGGGTGGTAATCTTAAAAAAACTGATTTTTTTTTTAATTTACTAGAATTTAGATCTTACCTATAAAAGTGTTCACTGATTAGGCTGACTTGACCTATTCTCTGATAACATTGCCAGACTGCCATGGGAGAAACGCAAAAGTCCTGATTTTCAAAGCTGGCCTCTTTTTTGTTTCAGAGGCAATTTTACACCTGCAAATTGCCAACATATTTGTACCTGCAATGAACTGTAGGTGCAAACATTAGTATTTAGATTTCTAATTACAGTAGTAATATTCCTAGGTTCACTGCAGCTGCAAGAATGTCAGTATCATTACTTGTGGGTATAAAACTGTACCCAGAAAAATGGAGACTGGGATGAAGATAATTAAAAATAGTTGATTTTCACCCATGTTTACTCAGTGAAATTTAGTGTGTTCTGAAGGCTCTGGGCTGGGTGTGCAGGCTCTGGGGTGGGTCCGGGGATGAGGGGTTGGGGGGGGGCCTCAGGGGCTGGGGCAGGGGATTGGGGCATGGGGTTGGGGTGCAGCCGGGGTGCAGAGGCAGGCTTCCCGCCTGTCGTGGCACCGGGGACCGCACTGCACCCTGGAAGGGGCTCAATGTGGCTCTCGCCCGCAGGCACCCCCCCTCCAATGGGAGTGCGGAGCCGGTGCTCGGGGCGGGGGCAGCGCGCGGAGTCCCATGGCCCCCCTGCCTAGGAGTCAGACCTGCTGCTGGCTGCTTCTGGGGCGCAGCGCAGTGTCAGAGTAGGTAGGGACTACTAGTTTTTACTGGCCGGCCGCCAGAGTCCCTGGGTGCAAAGCAAGGTGACCCAGGGCCTTGCACTCCACGACCCAGTACTGGGTCATGACCCGAAGTTTGAAAATCACTGTTCTAGACTATAAGTGAAAAAGTTAAATAAAGCATGACCTAACACCAACACCTTAAATATTGACATGCTAACAAGCTACAACTGCACTATGAAAGTACAGAAAATAATGGACTGAGAGGGGAGATAATTAAGTATGATTATTTTCTCCATTTAACTTCATTAAACCATTCTAGTTCCTCTTGAACTTGGAAACAGAAACTGCTTATTTCAGAAAAAGGATGGGATTCAAATGCCTTTCAGAATTTGTTAGAAGGAATCACCTGAAGGACAAATATTAACCTCTTTGTGATATTATTTAAGTATCGATAACTATTATGTAATTAACTTTTCACAACAATGAAAACACTGGAAATTCTAATTTCTGACACACATAATTTAAAGTTCAATGTTAAGCGAATTGCTGTGATGAACAGTGTAAATATTTTCAAGACCAGTATACATTTCTAAATCCTGGTCAAGGAGATTACAATTCCTGAGTCCCAGCAAACTACTGGCCACTTGCACCCAGCCCCCAGCAAAACCCTTTCAGTATGATACACCTTCATCCAGCAGCCACAATCATCAGCATTATGAGGGGAAGAGAGATCCTGTGCTTGTAGCATACCAACCTGGTCTCTGACTCAGCCAAGACTGCGCTTGGAGAGCCCTTAGAGAGACAAGGTGGGTGAGGAAATATCTTTTATTGGACCAACTTCTGTTGGTGAGAGAGACAAGCTTACACAGAGATCTTTGGGAAGAAGCTTGCCTCTCTCACCAACAGAAGTTGGTCCAATAAAAGATATTACCTCACCCACCTTGCCTCATTAAGATTCGGGGACCAACACAGCTACAACAATATTGCACATAACAAGAGGCAGACCATTCAAGCTTCTTCCTTACACAATAAGCAACACTAAAAATGAAAGCCAAAATGTGTTCATAAAACCTGTCCTTTGGAACGGTTGGTATCTATCATTAGATAGTTTTTAAAGATTTAATTTCATCTGTCCTGAAGGAAGGAGCTTATTATTTTCAAAACCTCAATATTGTTCAATGAATTCACCCTGCTAGACCTAGAGGAAATAAGTGTAATTTTTAGCCTCCGGGACTGTAGACTCTCTTTTATCTCTCTCATTGATAGCTCAATAAAGTTACCTTTGCAGTTACCAAATGTTACTGTACTACTTTTGGTATGCTCAATACTTAGGATATCCTATTAGTTATTTCGTTAAAAATATTTACTTTACACATATTTTCGAAGGCAATTGTAAACTTCATTGTAACTGCTACAGTAGATGATTGCACAGTCCATTTATACCATAAATATTTCAAGATTTCTTTGGTCTTGTGTGTTGAAATTGGTCTTTTAGTCAAATAGTCAAACTAAGGAACTCCTGTATTAACCTTATTTTCCCTCATATTTTAACCTCTCCTTGACAACCACTATTCAACACCTTTCACTCTGAGCATTTGTTGCAGCTGAAAGTGATTTTCTTCTTTGGTAAAAGTTGTTCTCAGGTAGTCAAACAATCTGGAGCAATAAATCCTCACTTGAACTCACAGTCCAGGCTTTGCAGCAGAACAAGAGACAAAACAATTGTTCCAAGATTCCCTTAACACCAACCACCACTAAACTAGCATGTGAATTGTATTACACAGCATGCAATTAAGATCAACAAAATCAATGTGGCATTTTTTCTTTCAAATTGAATAAAATGATTCCACACTGGTAGATCATTAGTGGAGAAATCACATAACGAAACAAAGAGCATTAATGCCAGAAATATCCTTTGAAATGTTTCAAAAATGAGCAGCTGATATATTCCTAGACACTGTCTAAGCATATTAAAGAAAAAGGCATAGATTTCTCACCTGCGGTAAATGTAACTGGAGACCCTCACTGGGAATGGGCTGGCGAGATGGGGTCTGATCCAGCTGCATGTTAAATAAGGATGCAAGAGCTGACTGAGCAGCCCGAGCCTTTGCAAGCTTTTTGTTCCTTCCTGATCCTTCAAAAGTTTGACCATCCACTGCCACGGCCATCACAAAGTTCTTAGCATGGCTTTCTCCACTTTCTGAGAGAAACTCATACTTCAACCCTGGCCGCAGCTCATTCAGAATCATCACAGGGTTCTTTCCACTGGTCGATGGATATGGTGATGGTGTGGGAAGAGGGGACTGGATAAGACTACCAGCCACAGTGGATGAGGACAGACTGTAGTCTATACTGGAGCTATAGGATCCATCTCCATTGGACCCCAAATAAAAGGAATTGTCAGTCTGAACTGGTGTTTCAAATCCATTGAAAAGTGTGTCTGGGAAGTCTGCTTGGTCAGATGTAAAGTCTGTGTTTACAGAGAGTGTTCTCCCCATTGCTAGATGTGCTTCAGATGCATTTGGAAACTGAACAAAAGATCTCAAAGCCTTTTCAGCAGCATGAAGCTTTGCCTTCTTTTTTGTAGGGCCAGATCCCTCAAACACCTGTCCATTAACTTCAACTGCCATCACAAAAATAGGGGCATGAACTGGTCCTGTTTGGGATAGAAGCTTGTACTGTAAACCAGGCTTAATTTCATTCAGTTGCATCAGAGCATTCTTCGGCAAAACAGGCCCTGGTGTTTTCTTCCTCTTCTTAGGGCGGAACTTGGAGTGTCCATTGCTGCCCTCCTCCAATGGGCGTTTTCTACTGCTGCTACCACCACCATTGGAGAGTTGAGACCCCTCCCCGGTATTTTGCACACTGCCATCCTTAGGTGGAACGTTGTCCATGTTGCGGTTTTCTTTAACATCAGTGCTGCTTGAACCTGTGGTGCCCAGAAAGAGTAACTTACAATGCCTTCGTTGCAGGATCTTGTAAATGCAAAATTTATAGATTCCTTTATCTATCTTTGTAACTGGAAGTGATGTGTGCTTACAGGTTTATGTCTTTGCAGGACAAACAGAAAACCATAATTTTAATAACCCAAGAAATATCAGGTGCAGGTCTGAGTTACAAATTATGCATTTGACATTTTTATTAATACTGGGATTAAAAGTTTGCACCGTTTTTATTTTGCACTCAAATTACTTTTGAGACAAAAGATCTATTTTTAAATTACTTTTGTTCTGAAAAATGTTCAAACCCAGAAAAATTATAATTTTAATCAACATTTTTGATACTTATATTTCAAAATCCTTCAATTAATAACTAATAAAATGAACATTTAAGAATAGTACAAGTGAGATATTTGTTTTCATATTAATTCAAACCACTTCACTTTTATTTAAGCTCATGTTGTGGCTCAAGTAAGGCATCTTACATGATTTTTATTTATTTTAAAAAGAGAAGTTATATAAAATCTGAGTAATTTAATTAATTTAATAAAAATAACCAGCTCCATTTGTAGGTTCACTGGTTTAAGAGTGCATAAATATTGTATACACCTACATCTTTTCATTTGCTTGAAACAACCCTACTTATATATCATCTATATAGATGTTCAACTGTGTCCATTTTAACAATATTGCTTATTTAAATTACTAACTTCTGGTAACTGGGCACTTATCTAGAACCATTTACATTTTTATCCGAGAAGATTCCAACAAGAAACTAGAATTTTTCACCCAACCATGCTGACTTGTTAACAGCCTGAACCCACTCCCACTGAAGCCAGTCAGACTCTTTCTTTCTATTGACTTCAAAGGTAGTTAGATTAGACTATAAACATGCACTGCAGAGTGGAATGAGCCAAACTCAGTGGCCATATTTATTCTTTTGATATCAATCCTCAAAACTTGGAAGTAAAGTCTGTAATAGATATACTTCATCTCTCCTCAGAATTCTGTTAAAAAAATCATGCTTAAATTATGTTGTTCCAGAAGAAAAATATATATGGTTTCTGTACTATCATCTAGCAAGAAATTTTATATTTCTGATAGTCATTTACACACAACTTTATAATTCTTTGCAAAGGAAAAGCAATTGCTATTATTTTAGACAGAGTTCAAATTCCAAACATCCCCATTAAGACACAGCAATCCTTTATTAAGATAGTATTAGAAAGCAAGAAGATTTGTAATAAATGTTCAGGTTAAACCTGACAAATTAATCATGTTGTACATTGATAATTATTCATGGAACTGATTTGTTTATATAAAAACAAATTAAATTACATTAACAAAATATTTCTGAAATTAGGAACTTGGGTGGTGATATCGTACTATGAGTTAGTTCTAAGAATTGTTCCTGCTACAGCTTTTAAATCCTAATTTTTATTATGTGAAGAAACCGCTACAAATAAAGAGTCTGAATTTATACTAGTCTATGTAAACTAAAATGCAATTTTAGTAGTTTAAGAGTTTCCAGCCTTTCCGTTTTAAAGATTTCAAATATCTAGCAATATAATACACCCACAATGATAACAGATTATACAAATTAATCCAGAATTTAAACAAAACAAAGTGGAAATTTTCTTGCACTTTGATGGATTTCAAACTTTTGCTTAATTTCCCCAAATACTGGTGCACACACACCACTTCACCCAGTTTACAAAGCTGATGGAATGGTTACTAAATTTTCATTTATAACATCCTCCAGCAAAAGCTCGATAGGTTACTCCTTTCGGTGCTCGAAAAGAATAAAAGATCAAAAGAAAGAGCCAAAGTAGAAACATACATGTTGTTAACAAACAGGTATTGGACAATAAAGATTGGTACAATATTGGCAAATAGAAGTAAAATAAATATTGTTGGGGAACACTCATACTCCCAAATGACTAATAGTTTCATCATTAGAAACATGTTCTGGCAATTCATTTGATCAGAAAAGGATTTCTGAAGCTGAACCTCAAATGGTATTGTATACAGTATATATACTAGTGGATTATAATAGTCAACACAACATGTTAATTCATGAAGTTTTGTTTCTTTTATAATACTGTAGTACTACTTTGAGGGAATTTAAGTAACATAATTTAATAAAACTACTAAATGAACAGTGGATTTTTTAGCTGGAGCTGTGATCCTTTGAAAATTGTATCTTCTCTAGAACCATATTTTTGGATCACTTGGTCTGTATCATGGCATCAGGAGTTTGCTATCAAATGGTATAATTTGTAAACTAAAGGGAAATGATTAGCTATATAATACCATATCATGGCCTCCATCTATACATTTCTTTTCATTAAGGGTTCTACAACAGTAGCCTACAGTAGCAATAAAAAAAGACCAACTCCTGCAGGAAGTTGTGAAGGAGCACGTGGATCTAATCATCTTTAATATTACAGTAGAACCTTGGAGTTACAGACACCTCGGGCTCCAGGGAGGGGGCTCTGGGCTTCTCCCCGAGGGAGCACCAGAGCTCAGGGCTTTAAACTTGCGGGGACCACTGGGGCTTCAGCCCTGCAGCTCTGCTCCCAGCTTCTGCCCTTCGGGGGGCGCCAGGGTTTGGGGCTCCCCAAGGCTCTGCTCCTGGTTTCAGCTGGAGTGTGTGTGTGCCAGGGCTTGGGGCTTTAGCTACGGGGGAAACGCTGGGGCTGAAACCAGCACTCCCCTTGTAGCTAACGCCCTGAGCCCCGACACCCCCCGCAGGGCTGAAGCTGGGAACGGAGCCGGAGGGCTGAAACCCTGAGCCTTGGCGCCCCCTGCTGGGATGAAGCCCTGAGCCCCAGTAACCCCCGCGGGTCAGAAGCCCTGAGCCCCGGTGCTCCCAAGGGTCAGAAGCCCTGAGGCTCCCCCCACCTGGAGCCTCAACCCCCACCCCAACCCTGCGGCTGCAGACCCAACCCCCCGCATGGCTGAAGCCCTGGGCTAAAGCCCTGAAGCATCCCAGGGCTAAAGCCCTGAAGCAGTACAGTACTTGCTGGTTTTAATTTGTCTCCCCTGCTGCCTGACCGTGTGTCTGGCTGACCAGTAAGTCTGTAACTCTGGCGTTTGTATCTTTGAGGTTCTGCTGTAATTTAGTCTGGAAACAAAACCGTTTATATTTAAGTATGAATGTTTATTTAAAGATTATGGATCCGATTTTGAAAAGAGCTCAGACCCCTATATGAAGTGGTAAGCATTTCAAAAGTGCTCAGCCTACAGCTGCTCCTATTGTCCTAACGGGAGCTTTTGAACAGCTGGTCACTTCATAAAGGTGCCTAAATGGCACCTGAGATCCTCTGAACATCTAGCTATAAATTCCCATTTGAATGTGAAACGAATACTAAAACATGATGAAAAGAAATCGGTTTATAACCTGACATTAGATCTTGTGCTGCTGGTGTCACAGTTTTCAACAAAATATCCATTAGAACCAGCAGCATGCTCAGAAATATCAATACCAACAACTGTATTGACAAGTACAATTCTTAGCTGATAGGCTGAAAGAAAGGCTTCACTCTCTGAACTGTTAAAACACTGCACTGAGCAAAATGGATACAACTTCTTTCAAATCAGCTTTTGTGTTGAACAGGTGAAGAGATGTCCACTTGAACCTCTCCTTGGTGAGGATACACACTCTTCCAGTGGTCACTTAAC